CCTGTCATAAAAAGAATGCAGACTTGTTCTATTATCTTTTTGTGCCTTCAGTGGAAGATAATTTCTGAATCAGCTTAATGGAGGCTCTGCTCTAGGAAGATAATTCCAGTGGCCATATATACGATAATTGGAGCAATCTTTATTTCTAGGAATACTTTACCATGACTTCATTACCCCGATATAACCTTATTGATTCAACTTTTCAAACAGGACTGTGCTCAGAATATTTTGCAGAAGGTGCATAATGAGAAACCTGATATAGCATACAATCGGCATATAGGGTTTCAATTCATTGTGATAGTTAAAAATAGAATATGGATTTGCCTGTGCCTAAAATTTCTATTATATAAGTCCGATAGCAAGGAAGACATGAAGACAAATATGACCTGGCTTGATGTCTGCATACACATACATTTTCTATTTTACTTTTGATGTTGAATAATGTGAAACTTTGGGAGTATCACCAGCTTTCAAAATGGCTGTGGACATTTTTGATCCTACCTCGAAAACAAGCAGTGTTTGCTAATGGTACAAGGATCACACACATAAAAAGCATTTTTAATTAAAAATTTTATTTTTACATTCTAAAGGAAATATATCCACATTATTGAAAGAGAGCAGGATGCAATTAATATGAAAACCTATATCCTGCTACTCTGCCTCCCTTGCTCAACCTGTTAGTGGCCTGAAATGTCACCCTCCACCCATGCCCTTCCTAAAAATGACTTGTTCCAATTCTGCATAACCTTCCAGACATAGCTCAGGACTAAGACTTCCATAGAGTTTTTCCATTTATAAGAGGAAATAAGCCAGATACTGGAGCAATCAGGAAGCCATTCTAATGGCCCATGAAAGGTGATGGATCCCCATTTGGGTAGTAGGCATGCAGAGGAAAGAAGCCTTCCAGAAAGCGTCACTCCAGAGGTTGCTATAGTTGGGACAGGGTCCATGGGTGAAGGAGTGAAAAGAACCCGTAACTGGTTCTGGAGAAAATACAAAGCCGTGCACATAGCAAGCAATAATGTATAAGCAAGCTTTAGAAACAGGTTCTTTTTAATTATTATTATTCAGGCATCTTAATTCACTATCAAAATTCTCCTCAGCCTGTCTGATCCTCTGTCATTGGATTTTTTTTTTTTTTTTTTTTTTTAATTACTGTGCTAAGCTTTGCCAGCAAGCTCCTCATTTCAGCCCTGGGTCTGAACTTGAGCTTCCTGCCGGCCCCTAATCAACTCTGTTTCCTTCATGCTCTGATGCCTTCCAGTCTGGTACCATTCCCCTGGTTTTTCTCATTTAAAAGTGCTGAGATACTTGTCCAAAAGATGGGCATTAAGACTGTGGTCTGCTTTTAATGATGTGTAGTATAAGCCCCTTTAGGGGCAAGGATGTACTCTGCTTGAGTAACTTTCTTCCCATTGTGAATGCTTCCCTAAAAGGCATAGTTTGTAAATTTCGTTAATGTGAAAAGGGAACATTCGGGCACCTTTTCTGTCTTGCTGATGGGTAGGGCTATTTTTATTTTTTGTTCTTCGCTCTTTTTCTGTGCTTGTGATTTTAAAGGTGCCAGACTGACTGCCCTCGAGCCTGTGTCCCCAATTTCTCCCAAGAATAGGAAAAATACGGGAGGCAGCTGAGCTGGTCATGTCTGGGTCCAGCATATTAGCCTGACCCACTCTGGAAGAATGTTCTCCAAATTATAAAGGAGAAGATTGTTCCTTATGAATACAGCCCATCTGCTTTCATAGCTGAGAAGACAAATCCTTGTTGTGCCAGCACCAAGTTACTGCAGAGGTTTGGGATCTAGTCAAGCCCAGCTACTCACTCCCTTTGGAAAAACCAGAATGTTTTTCTCTCTCACATCTCCACCTGTCACAGTTCCATCCTTGAGTTGGGCTCAAATGCCTCTTTCTCCACAGAACCTTTGCCGAGCCCCTCTCACACGTGATTTCCCTCCCACACCTCCATAGCACTTTCTCCTCTGGCACTTGGCACCTTTTTCCATGTGATTATAAAATGTATAGAGTCTTACAGTAATTGTAAAAGGCACTGACATCATCGAATCCATTTCCGTAGATCACACAGAAGCAGAATATAGTGCTGGCGAAGAGCAGATACCTGGGGAACGTTTGTTGAACAGAATGAAAATTTCAAAACTTGTCTTTTCAGCCTGACCTTTAGGGGTCTCCCCTCATCTTTCTCTCTAATCAGTGATTGAGATTCTCTCCTGTGTCCTTGGGAGTTAGCAAGCAAACTCTCTGTAGACTATGTAGACTCTAGCTCTAGGGTTCCAGAGACTATACCTCGGACCAGCCATTGTCCAGATCAGAATCTCTACCTTCAGTTGTCTTATGGAGGCAATGACCAGTAGACTGTGACATTTAGCCATAATTTTTTTCCCCCAGGGTGTGGCTCACACATCATTACTAGTCCCTGGTGAACTCTCAGGGAGCCCTGTTTAAGGTCTAAAGGGGAAAGAGTAATCAATAAAAATAATTCTGTTGACTTGAATTTAACACATTTGAAATGTAGAATTTGAGTATTTTCATGTCATTAGTATGTATTTTTTTTCTGCTGCAGCTGCTAAACCTATATTTTTCATTATCACTATTGTATTACATTATTTCTTCAGTTCAACAAAATAGATCAGTGATTTCAATATGATTCAGTGAAGGCAGGAAAAATAGTAATAAAGGTAATACCATAAATACCACTTTGGATTAATATTAAAAATGGAGATTTTGGTGAAAAGAGGGTTCCAATATAAATATTAGAAGTGAATCTGTAAATTCTAAGATAAATGTGTAAGTTTGCACAAACAGTTATAAAGGAAAAGTTTGAATACTAAGTATGATGATGACTCTTTAAAAAATAGGATTTTATGAATTGGTGATCCATGGGCCTACAATTACAATGTGTTTTCTGTGATGAAATGACAGATAGTGACATGAAGCTTTGAGGAGTGTAGCATTGAGTTCAAACATAGCACAGTGAACTTTTTAGTAAACCAGTTAAGCTGTTGGAGTTTTTTCCCTGAATAATGAATACAGGTGTATTCACAAAACAAGTGTCATATGCAATAACCTAATTTTGTTACTAAAGGCAATGAAAGTCCATAATTTTAAAGGCAACTTTCTAAGGTTATGCATCTCATGATAAAAACAGATATAAATAGATAAAAACAGAATAACTCTGGCGTGGAAGTTTGTAGAATAAGCCACAAAGTTATTACAAAAGCTTTTATCAGATATCAAGACTATGATATCAGGACTTCATAATGTCAACTATAGTGGAGACAGCTCAGTTTCCGGGAATTTAACTCTTTTTTCCAGTACTTGATATTTCTTATTTCTTAGGGCAAAAAAATGATCTGTAGTTTGGGTTATATTTTAAAAATACATTCGAGTCCTGCAACAGCGCATATAGGAATATTTTCCAGTGCCAATATAACCAGAGAGGATTAGAAATATATTTGCCTCTTTTCTCCCAAGTTGAAACATTTAGCCCTCCCGTTTGTAGGTGTGAAATGATTGTCAATCCAATGTGATGGAGTGCTGAAAGCAGTCTTCAGTGAGAAATCTCCCCATAATGTCAGCTCTATGTTCAATCCTGATACACAGAAGGAAACAGAAGCCAGACAGCATAGTGGTTAAAACCATGGACTCTGAAGCTAGACTACTTGAATTTGAATTTCATTAACTGTTTTTTTTGTGACTCAGTTTCCTCATCTATAAAATGAGACAGTAGCAGACCTATGACATAGGGAGCTATCAATATGAAATGAGTTAACGTGTCTAGAAGCACCTCGAAGATGCCTGGCACAGGGGAAGCCTGAGGTTTGCTACAGCTTATGTGTTAAAGCCCCCGATTCTTGTTGACATTCCCAGTGACCGATAATTATTTGTGAAGACTTCTTACTTATAGAAGTAAAGAATAGGAAGGAAAACTGGATGTGGATCTGACCTCTGGCTTAAGATTCCCATGACAGAACCAGATCGAGATACAGACTGCAGCCAGCACAATGCCTCACACTGACATAAATATTTGTCTTCAGTTATGTTTTCTTATTCCTATTTAAAACAATGAAATTTTTTAAACCTAAATCTGATGTCCACATGTGGTCCAGATGCCCCATAAATCAGTTTAAGAATGCTGGAAGTTTACAGAACACTGGGCTGGACGGTGACAACTAAGACCTCAGGATTTAAAACCCTAGAGTCTATGGAACCATCACAGGTTTTAGGGATGTTCAAACAGGATCAGACTTGGAGGCAATACTAACTGAGTTGTAATAACTTGAACGGTGTCAGGTGTAAGAGATGAGACAGTTTCACGAGGCCCTAGAAAACAGAAGTGGAAGTACTGGGTAGCAGTTAGCTTGAGGAAGCAGTCTGGCTCAGTATGAGAAGGAACTTTCTAGCTGTCGGAACTGTCGAGAAATAAAAGGGACTTGTTTTTGATCTATCACTGAGGGCTGGATGCAGAGATTTTACAACCTGGGCTTTTCTGAAAGGAGTTGAAGGGTTTTTTGTTTTTGGTTTTGGTTTTGTTTTTGTTTTTTTTTGTTTTTTGTTTTTTTACCCCCACCGTCTAACCAGACATGGAGACTCTCTAAGCAGAAAGACCTTCTAGATGTGCCTTCCAAGGCTACCTTGCTGAGTCATGTTCCTCTTACACTTGGTGTGAGATTAGAGGCACAGCAGTGGCCTCGGCATCAGGAGATCTGACTTCTACTCTGTCACTTTCTGTAGGTCCTTGAGCTGTGAGGTTCAGGTCCTCAAATGCCTCATGGAAAATCCCCATCATGGCAGCCATACTCGGGCCAGGGGTGGCTCTACCCCAGTGATCTTGCTCCTGGTGGCGGCAGCAGTGGTGGTGTCGGTCCTGTTGCTGCTGCTGCCATTTTGAGTCCGCTGTCTCCTCTATGTTGCCTTCAGCCCTAGAAAGACTGAAAGCGTTCCTTGATATATTCTCAGGAGTCAATCCCTTTTTCTGTCTTTCAGGCCGCTGTGCTCGCTGTGGGGAGAATGTCGTTGGAGAAGGGACGGGATGCACTGCCATGGATCAGGTCTTCCACGTGGACTGTTTCACCTGCATCATCTGCAGCAACAAGCTCCGGGGACAGCCCTTCTATGCCGTGGAGAAGAAAGCTTACTGTGAGCCCTGCTACATTGTAAGTTCACGTTCTGCTCTGCTGCTCCTCGGGTGCTTTGCAAAGATGTCTTCTTTGGCAGAATGCCAGTCGCTCCAGATAGAATGTAGCCAGCAGATCTTTGTTTCTCCCCAGATTTCAAAGTGTGCGTGCGTGTGTGTGTGTGTGTGTGTGTGTGTGTAGATTGGCAAATCTTAATTTTTTCCAGTTGTCCCCTATTTCTGTAAGGTCAGAAAGACATGGTAGGAAGATCTGTTCATCATCAATTAGTGGTCTGCTGGGAAGATCATCCCCTTGTGCCTTTCAGGCATGTACCATACAAGCTCACACACACACCCCTGCACAGCAAAAGTTTTCCCAAGTGGCATTGTCCTACCTCTTGTTATTAGGTCTCACCCTGCATTTGAATTTGCCAGTATTTGTAAAGAAACACTGCTGGGCTTCTAGACTCCCCGGTGCTCTTTCAAATTCCTGGGACCTTTGAATCACCTCTTCTCCACCCAGAAGATTTCCAGCCTACAGAACCCAGCAGGTTTTCAATGATGCGAACAGATAGATCCTTTATAATACAGGGAAATGAATTTCCCTTAAAGGAAGATGAACAGTAGGCTGACTGAGCTAATAATTGAGTTTGTTTTGTTCTGTTTTGTTTTTAAGAACACAACAACTATATTTTAATAACATAGCTGGGTGGCTAAAACATATTCTATCTTCGTTATTTCCCAGGCTACTTAAATCTACACATTAAGCTATCTTCTGATACAGCAATTTGATGAATGAATATAAACTGGTTTTAAACTTAAAAATACATTTCCTTGTTGTCTTGCTGCATGTTTTTAATCTGTTTAACACTTGTTAGTGGAAAATTGGTGCATTTTTGCAAACATAAAGGAAGCTTTGGGTGCAAGGTCTCAGGAGTTACACCTAGCTCTGCAGAACCCCGAGGCTCAAGTTCACTGCCGAAGTTCTGGCCCTGTCAGTATCTTCCCATGACCTGCCGGCTTGAACTCATTGCAGCCCTGGAGTCCACAGAACAGATCTGAAAGTTGTTCAAGATTAAGATCTTGCAGGATTTAATATTGTTTTGCATCTCTTAGGTTCAATTTTATTTCATTTTACTCCCCAAAGACAAATTAACTTAAGTACATATCGCATTGTACTAGTGCCACACAGTGCTGGTGCTGGAAACCAAGTCCTCTTTGTAGACATGAGAATACAGAATCACAGAAAGGAGGAAAATGACCTCTTCCCTTCCATCACTGGGGACACAGCCAAGGCTATATTCAGTCCTTCATACCCCTAGTCCTGTAGTCTCTGCTGACAGCACACATTTTTAGTTTGTCTAGAACATAAGCAGACAGTAATGTCCTATTGATTGAGGGGCGGGAGGGAGCAGTTACATCTATGAGGGAAAGTCTACTGAACAGAAGTTTACCTCTTTAGGAAATAAGAATGTTTCAAATATCACCCTTTAAAATCTTTATTGAAAAGAGAAACAATACAAAATCCCCTGCCTTTGTAAACAGACCGCATGGACAGTGACTTTGGGCCAGCACATGAAATTACTTATTGCAGTAAACTCTGTGGCAGTCATGTCCACAGAACCTTTAGAAGCACCTGTGGCCCTTCGTCCTTATACGAAGTGACCACACTGCTGTGTTTTTCATCCTTTCTTGGACTGCATTGTTGATTTTTTCTACTTAAGTGGTGCTCTGGTGACAGTCTCCTTCATTTTTTCTTGTATCCCTCAGGGCTAAGGATTGTATGAGCAATATTGGGAAATGGTGTAACATGGTGTGAGGAACATGGTTTGAATTTCATTTCATCATTTAAGGCTTTGTCTCCTTGAGAGAGCTCTTTCCGAGCCTCAGTCCCCCCATAAATATGGGGGTCATTGCAGGATTTTCCCCAGAGGCTTGTGAAGATGAAATGAGGCAATCCTGTAAAGCATACTTGGCCTGCCCAAGGAATGGTAATGGAATGCATGTTATTCTGAGATAAATTTTGGTAAGATTTCTGGCATATTTAATACTTCTGAATATGAGGACTTTACATGTGCCGTGTGACTCCTTGGACTTTAGCGAATTGTTTAAGCCTCACAGGCATACCCCTGTCCCATTTTTAAATGCTTTTCTTGCCCTTCTGAGTGTGTAATAAGATTGAGAAAAGTGTTGTCTGGCTAAATTATGGATTTCTACTGTGTGTGGGCTCAGGTTTCGCTCTCCAGGCCAGGCATGAGGAGCTCAGTGATTCTTGAGTTGGTAGTTCCTTCTGCTTTGGTTGCCCTATTGCTAGACTGTGCTTATGACAAAGAAGAGTATCTGGGAAATATTTAATCACATCCTCGGAAGAGCAGAGTGAATTCAAACAATGGAAATTCTTCCTATCCTTTTTAACATTTCTCCCTCAGAAGAACCTTTAATCAAGATTTTTCTTTATGAGATCTATCCATGGTGACTCTAAAATGTAATTTAATTCTTATCAGAATTCAGTTAAGCTGTATTCAGAGACCCTGTTCAATATTGATTTCAGAGTTCAGCACAGCCCTCCAGCTCTCAGATGGATGTTTTAGCATTTTAATTTCTTTGGGACTTTTCGTAAGTCCAATAAGCTGCCACACCAGAAATGTGAAGAGTTTTCTTTTGAGGGGATCAGGGAAGCTGAGAGTCTAAAATGAAGCAAGTTGGTTTTGAAGACAGAAGTGTGTGGTAAGGAGGATCCTAGGGTTGTATGTCACTTGGAACCAAAGCTCTTCGAACAGAAACACCTGCGATGGCATCTGGTCAAGCTGCGTCTTGTTCCATTGGTGGAAACTGATGTCCAAGAGACATCCTGTATAAACAAAGTGAAGAAAATCCAGGCCCTGGGCCTCAGTCAGTGTGCTTTCTTTTCTTTTCTTTTTTTTTTTTTTGTAATAGAATCAGAATATTCATGACTATGGTTTAGTTCATTATTTCTGTGTAAAGACCACCCATGTTCTATGCTCTGAGTTTAGAAAGGAGACTCATCTAATGTAAATTTAATTTCTTCTTGCCTAAATTAATTATTGATCAACTTAGATCATATTGAAATTGACCATTTACATAATTTGGAGGGAAAATATGCCAGTTATGTTTTCATCTTTGCTCCAGTGATTATTCACGTTTTCCTGTTATCTCTTGAATCCTTAATCCTTGCACATACGTAACTGTAATTAAACTGGTTTGGTTCTGCAAGGCACTATAATTCTCTTTAATCATTTTATATATGCTTTCTTTTGTGTTTTATATTGGTTGACCTAATATAAATATGTATATAGTTTTCCACTGTTAATAATCTCTATTTTTTAGGTTTTTTCCATTTAGTTTTACATTATGTTTGCATACTAAATTTTAAAGGTATTTGCCACTAGAAAGGTATTGGGTGTTTTCCATTCTTTCAGTATTGTAAATAACATGCCTATAAATAGCTGAGTGAAAGTTTTATATTCTTTTACTTTGGATTTTTTTTCTTAGCATAAATTCTTTAATTTATATTACCAAGTTTACTTTGCAGCAATTTGGAGAACTTTTGCTAGATTTCTTTAGAAAGATTTCTCAAATTCAAAGAACCATCAGCAATGTGAAACCATATGTTAAACTATAACCTATCCACTGTTGAAGAGGTTTATTTATATTTAATTTGAACCAATTTAATAAGTGCCGTATGTGACAGTTATTTTTTTAAAGATTTTACTTATTTATTTGAGAGAGAGAGAGAGAGAGCATGCTCAAGTGGGGAGAGGAGCAGAGGGAGAGGGACAAGCAGGCTCGCACTGAGCATGGAGCCCGATGTGGGGCTCCATCCCAGGATCCTGAGACTCTGACCCAAGCCAAATTCAAGAGTCAGAAACCTAGCTAACAGAACCACCCAGGCACCCCTATAATAATTATTTAATTTACGTTTGTATAGTTATTAGTAAAATCACTAAGATGCTTCTCAACTTTGGTGATCTCTTAAAAGCTTAGTTTTGATTATTTTTATGGAGTTGTATAAACGAACAGATTAAAATTACGAGTACTAAGCTTCCTTGAGAAGTAAGGTGATATAAATAGAATATGTTGCTTCTAGACCTTGGTCTCCTGGTATGACCTTGGATAAGTCATTTAATTTCTGAGTACCAGTATCCTCATTGATGAAAGGGAGATAGTAATTTCTTCCCTGTCTTCAAAGAAAAGGAATGACCAGTTGTGATATTTTATACATTATGAAATTGTTTACTAATAGAGGGGCTTGATCCATTAATAACGTTATTATCATCACTTTGTCCCTTAGCATAATCTGATACAATTTAGAAATCCTCTGTGTTTGGGGTAATTTCATAGCTACAGTTGCTATGGAAATACTGAAATAAATAGACGTCATAGAAGGAATATGAGGACATACAGGAGAAGAAGAGGTTCATGCTTTGCTTGAGAAGATTTTTCTGTTGGTATGAGCATGAGGGGCAACAGCCGTGCCTCCCACTTATGTGTTCTGTCCTGAACGAGACAGGTTTAGCCACAAGTATAGGTTAACAGAAGAACTGCTGTGTCCTTAGCATTGCCGAGGAGCCTGGGCCCGAGACATAGCACATCCAAGATTCTCAGCAGAAGTCTGTTTACGAAATGGCAGCCAAGCATCTTCCCCTAAACCAGGGCTCTTACTCAGAGTGGATCAAATCCAGCTTCTAACTTTCCAACAGTGGAAGTTGCTACAGACATTTTTATTAGAATTAAAGTCCAAGTGATTAAAAGGCCTCAGGAAAGCGGAGGCCAGCTCCGCAGGAGACTAAACACTGCAATGTTCCTGAGCTTGACACATCCGTGGCCAACATGCTCGCGGCCTTTTGCTCCCTTATGTCCCTAAATGGCCACAGGCTCCTACCTCTGCAGGAAAGTTGTCCTTTTATATGCTCAGTTCCTCCCAATAGTGTTTTAAAGGCAGTTATGGCCAGTGCTTTATGTGGGTGTTGGAAAAGGAGCTTAGAGTTTGGACAAATGCTGAAAAATCCTTGAGAACTA